CAGGCTTCGCTACCAGACTCGGATTGGCAATCTGGAAATTCAGTTTAATGCCAGATGGGCCATTCGCACAGCGGGCCAAAAGGCCACCAGAGATGTGACAAGAAACAGAAAGCTGAATATCTTTTTTTCTTTAACTGGGTCGGGAATGGGATGTACAGGAAGCTTCAGATCTTTGAGTGGATTTGTTCAAGGTAATGCCAGAAGTCAGCAGAAAAAAAACTTTACAAATAAACTCACTTAAGTTTCTAACATCCGACATCAAGGCAGAGGCTGCAAATGAAAAAAAAAAAAGAAAAAGACACAGAAGAAGAGGCACTGGTAAATGTTTTAAATTAAATGTTTTTTTGTTTTTTTTAAAGAGCCATTATTGACAGAAGTGAGCTAACTAGCTGTGATACCAACAGAAACTGACACTGATAATGAGAAGGGGGCCTGACTCTACAGAGCTGCAGTAGTTTACTGCTGCTGGGTGGAAGAAATGTGAAACAATTGCTAAGGCGACGCTGCATGTGGTGAGCCCAAAGTCCTCTGCCACACTTCTTATTCTCTTTCCTTTGGGAAATATAAAAGAAAAGACGCATGTGGCAGCCGTCCGCAAGCATTTATAACAACCTGGCTTTTATTATTACATTTTGCCACTTTACAACCACAGGCGTCATTGTATTTTAAGGGTTTTATGTAATAGATGGTCTATTAAAGTAGTATTGAAGGAGTGTGTAACTGTGAAGTGGAAGGAAAATTAAATTACATTTCTGATGCTTTTCCTTTTAACTATTATAAAAATAGTAGAGTGCATTGGTATTTAGTCTATTTACTCTGATACCTCCAGTGAAATCAATTGCCTTGTTAGCCACTTATTTAGTAAATAAAGTCAACCTGTGTTTAATTTAACCACAAGCTCTTCTGTGAAGGCCTCAGCATGTTTTAAGAGAAAATGAACAAGTAGCATTTTGAAGACGAGGGAGCATAGCAAACAGGTCCAGGAGAAAGTTCTGGAGAAATTTAAGGTGGTGGGTACATTTTTAAAAATATATATCCTAAGCTTTCGGTATCATACATTTACGTGTTAGGATGAGCAGGTCAGACTTAAACTCAATTGAGAATCTTTGGCATAGCGTGGAAAGTTATGTTCACATGCTATCTTGTTTTACAAAGAAGATTTTATTGGAGAGTTTTAGATAGAGATATACTCTACACTTGTAGACTATATGTGCTTCTGCTTTGCAGGAGCTTTCAGTTTTTCATGAAAACCTATGAAAACATTTTATGGAGTTCATTCTTATCAATTCAAAAAGAGTAGAACTTTCCTTTTTGGCAAAAACTTAGAAAGGCTTAAAATGTCCCTGAGCTATTTCTGTAGCTATGTTGGCCTAAGGTGCTGGTGGACAAACTTTCTCCTACTGCTCTCCAATCATGGATTTATCCTTTCTATCTGTATTCTCTTCATGGATGTTGTATCTGGCCTTCTCTACCTGTGACACGTTTCACAGCCAAGACCTTTATGTTCTCTTTTTATAGATGATGCACTTTAATCTCCTTCTGTATTTCACCTTGTCTAGTTAAGGAGACTGCAGGAATTGTTTGCTTTTAGCTGTGCTTTTCACTGTTATTTGTGGCGTACTGCTGTTGTCTCAGAGCTTACGGTATGTATTTAGCTGTGTTTCTCTCACAGATGAAGCATCTGATGGAACCCCACCACCACTGAAGCTCTTTCTAATGATCTTACCAGTTAATTACATTAAAAAAAAAAAAAAACATTTTTCCTGCTAAAAATGTCAAAGATTACACAAGTTATTGAAAATGTCACTTGGATATTCTCTGAAATGACAGCTGAAGGTATCTGCATAGCAATAAGTATTTCAAATGAAAATGAATGTCAGGTGGGATATCCAAGGGCAAAGAAACTGATACTTAAGCATACAGACCAAGGAAAACATAAAAAAACTAACAAGAACACTTTTTAAATTTTTTTTCAAATTACTCATTTCTTATGCAGTACTAACAATATTGCATGAACCTGAATAAAAAATATACAAATTGCATGTTTTGTTACGAATGCTGCTCTCAGTGAAGTACTTTGTAATAGAAAGGTGATGACTGAAGTTAGTTATGGATCCACAGGAGCATATGTTAAATCTTTCCCACACAGGACTCATTAGATGTTTTTCCATTGTACACTATTTGTAAGTGTCTATGCACTCCTGCTATTGGATAAGTAATTGCTGTTTGCCTGCTGTGATTTCCTGACACAAGCTGGATGAGATGATTGATCTGGGGAGCTGTAGCCGATCAGACGAGGCAGGACTTCATACTGAAAAAACTCGACCTTTCCCAAAAAAACATAAGGTGCTCTGTCTGGCGTTTTTTCCACAGGCGTTATGTCAAGACAGGTTTTCTTTCTCTGCCTTTTTTTATGAAGATAAAACAGAAGACCAGTTATGAAAAAAAAAAAAAACCCAGAGAAAATCACACCCCTGGAAGAGAAATCAGGTCATGTGCAGAGATGGTATACTGCACAAAATATGACTGACAGAGGCCCCTGGGCACAATATGAGAGAAGTAACTGGCGAGTGCATCTGGAAAACAAAAGAAGGTAGAAGTGTTGGGGGGAGAAAAGGAGGACATTTTAGGGCAATCAGATGTAGAGGCTTAGTGGACCCATGTGAAATCTACAAATAATCCAAACAGAAGGCCAGGGCACAGCTGGGGAAATGGTACAAAGATGACATGGACAAATAGAGACATTATTTTTCCAAACTTGGAGTCACAGTCAGGTGGCTGCAGGAAGACAAAGACGAACTTAGGTCGCTGTGCTCTAATATCTCTTCCCAGGACTTCAACGTCAGCAGCACTTTGTGTCGACTACTTTTAATAGACTCAGGTTAATGTTAATATGTTGGCACCTTGGTCACGTTTCTCATCGTTTCACTTAAATAGACATCAGTGGATGCATGAGAGTCTGTTTGCGTTTATTTTGGCCCAAAGTCACTCTCCATAAACAAGTGAAATATGTTTTTCTTCTTTTGATATTCTCAGTTAGTCTGATCTGGAATAAGGAGGGGGCGATGGGTAACTGTGGATTACAGTTTACTCTCATTCATATTTAATGTTATGGTTCATCTTTAAAGTGGCAACAAAATGTAGCCTCATTTTTAATTAGGTGGGTCTGAATATTCATTTAGTACTGCAAACTGTGACACAGCTGTCAGTTTTATAGTCAATAAAGTTTGAATTTGTTTTTACACTTTAGTTCTTATTTTTTTAGCAAAGTGTTCCAAACAGCTTTGCTGCGTTATATTTAATCATTTGCAGTGAAATATATTTTACTTCCTTATTTTCACTGCAGATTTTCTAAACTTATGAACCATAAATGTATTAATGTTTACCTTTGTTATCATAACATAGAACAATAAGCTGTAAAAAGAAGTGAAAACTGTAAAGATGACATCTAAGTGGAGAAATAGTCCAAGTGGTTGAACAAGAAAGAAATCAGGTGATTAATTTTACCACCACAGGCATTCATCATCATCATCATCATCATCATGTGTGCAATGTGTTCCTTAATATTGCAAAAAAAGACCCAGCTAACATTATTTCATGATTTATGTTACCCAATTTTCAAAATACAAATAACAAAACATGTTAGTTTTATTTCAGTTCATGTGCATCTTTTCCATGTGGTGTTTTGTGCCAAAGTTGTTGCTCCAAGCAGCAGGATTTTCTTGTAATGTTTTAAAGTGGTTTTGATCAACTTTCTTCCAGACAAACAGGAAATCAGCAATCAGTCGGTCCAAGTTATTTAGCTTAACATGTAGAAATGCAAATTCTGACTTGGTGTCAAGGTCACACCCTGAGTTGTATTGGTTAAAACCCTGGATCAAAGTTTGCTGCAGGATGGTGAATCTTTGTAGGATTTTCTCAAATTATTTTGAAATGTCGTGTTTGCTCTACAGTTTCAAATTTGAGAACCATCCTAATGATTGGTTCAAGATCAACCAGATCCTTGTACTTCCTTTATTTAGTGCATGTGGATTATTCCCAGGTTGCTAAGCTTGTTCGCTTCCATGAGTCCGTTCATGCGACCGTTGCGGCTCAGAAGAGATAAGGCCGAAACACAGAACTGCAAATACATCAATCAGACAGAGAGGTATAAGAGCTACCAACATCTCTGTTTCTTGCAAATTTAGTCTTGGCTTTATCTCCAACATGTGTGCTTTATCTTAATTATTTTATATATAAATATCTTTCTATGCTCTTTGTAACTTGACTGTTTTTTCTGTTTGCAAAATGTATCAACAACCTTATGAGGAATTTAATGTCAGATGACCATCTCCATGATTTATGTTATGAAAATTTCCTCCATTATGCAGCATCTTACAGAAGTTAGAATTCGCATAGTTCTTGATTTTGTCTTTCATGCATCTCATTAGGATTTTTATGAAATAGCCCAACAGACAGCCGCGCATAACTGTAAAACAGAAGTAGTGAAAAACATAGACTTTGCACTTTTTAAAGATAAACACATCAGAAAAGTGGCCAGCATTTCTAGTCAGTCCCATTTAATGCACGAAATAAAATTCAGTGCAACAAATTGCATTTGCAATCGCCTATTTACTACATGGAGTAATTACAGTATAAATAAATCTGCTAGGCGACAATTAAAGAAGCTGCTAAAGGCCCCTAGTAACTCTGGAGGAGGTGCAGATGTGGAAGGCTCTGATTCCCATTAATCCTGAAAACCTCAAATTGGATTTTTTATTGGGAAAGAGTGGCAACAAAAATGTTTTTCTCGTAAGAAGTAGCATTTAAAGTCTGTCACATGCCATGTAGGAGGTACAGCATGTAAAAGGAGGTGATGTAATCAGATAGGTAAATCTTCAGAACACCCTGGATTGTAGCAGCATCATGCTGAGTGGATGTGTGTACAAACACTAGCTGAACTGCATTATATGTCTCTTTGGTGTATCTTAGTTTAAGAGAATTAAGAGACAGATTTCGCATTGATTTTTTTTTTTTTTAAATATAAACTTCATGTGTGGATCCTGTAAATATCCGGCTGAAGAACAGGATAGACATGTTGTTAACACAAACTCTGGCGTGAACGAAATAAAATAAAATACAACCAAGAAATAAAATACAACCAAGAAGGCAAATAACAGTCATATTTACTGTAAGCTTTACAATCAGTGTAATAAAATGCACATTAGGAATAGTTTTGAATGTATTTTTTTTTATAATTTATTGTAACTTCAAACAAAAATAATTTCTACAAAAAATATTCAAATAATGTCATATAATTGATACGTGGTTTTACATTTTCCCTCTTTTCTTTAGACCTCTGATTAGTTGAAAGTTGGTAAACTCTGCTTCCTGAATACTGTGTGAAGATTAAATCTCGTTAAGCGTGGCAACAATCACTCATTCCTACAACAACCATAATAGTGACTAATTTCTCTTTCTTCTTCTTTTTTTGTATTTTACTCATAACCCCTCATCCCTGGATATCATATAATATGTATAATATCAGCGACTTCTAGTGGGCGCGTTTAGATAAAATGACTGACGGTACAATTCAAAGTAAAAATGAAGCAGAAATAGAATAAATGTAAAATCAAGTCTCATCGTCTGAGGAGAAATGAAACTTGGTTAATATACTATGCAGGCCGCAGCAGCAGAATTAATCAAGCTCATTCTGACCCGTCTGTCAAGTCGACGAGTCTGACCACACACACACACACACCCACACACCCCTTCACGTGCTCACATTTACTCTGCTCTTCACAAAACACAAAACACACACGAAACACGCACACACACGCGTGCACGCGCGCACGCATTTTCTGTCAGTCAGTCTAACAGATGAGAGATCTTTTGCTCAACCAAGAAGAAGGAAACGGAAAAAAGAAATGAATAAAAAAAAATAAAAAATAGACCTCGGTGGTTACAACAGCCATTCCCTTTGAAGTGAAACAGTGGTGATTTAAGTGTTACTTTTTTATGCTTTTTGGTTTGATGCACATTGCTCCAGCTGAGGAATAAAGGGAACAGTGGTTGGTATCATTTTCTTCCCCTTTGACTGCATCGCTTTTCTGAGGCGTTTGTTTCTCTGCTCGTCCATTCCCCACACCTGAGCACACACACTCGGTGTCGTAACAGTCCTGTGAGGTGTGTGTATATACGTGTGCTTTGCGAGGGCTTAGGTAGTGTTTTTGGTGAGAGTGTGTGCATGTTTGAGTGCTGTTACAGGAGGGCTTGGGCGTGGGGGGGCCCCTGACCAGACATGCCCTCCTCCACCTCATGTTCCGGTTCCCCTTCCATGTGCACACACTCCAAGTGTCTGAAGGGTGGGCAGGTAGGAGGAGGCGGGGAGGTGGGTGCGTCTTTTCGTGGCTCAGTGGTGTGATAACGTGGCCAGCAGGTAGCTTAGAGTGCAGAGCAGCAGGGCGGCCGCGGAGAGGCGCGGCGAAGAGGTGCCGTTGCAGTCCTTGCCCGCTTCGCAGCGGGACTGTTGGCACAAGACCCCTTTGAACTCTGGAGGACAGACGCACTTCTGGTTCATGTAGCACGTTCCTCCGTTCTGGCACAGCAGCATCTCCTCGTCGCAAACGTTAGCTGTGAGCAGAGGTGAGGAGAGGAGAGGGGGGTAAAGATAAAAAAAAGAAAGTTGAAGGGAAGGAGGGTCAGTTTGATCGGGAACAGGGGATAGAACAGGAAGAGCAGAGTTCAGAGCGGAGAGAACAAAACGGGAAGGACGGCGAGGGAAGGAAGGAAGGAAGGAAAGAAGGAAAAAGGGCAAGATAAATGCTCCAGTTCTTTCCTTGGGGACGCGAAAAAGTAACACCTGCTTTTTTAGTTTTCGCCTTGTTTTTGCAGCCCTTCCAGTTTTCTTTGAGGTTGCACTTTCCCGGGGTCGAGTCAAAACTGTTTTGTCACACCCAGCAGAATAAATAAAGAAATAAATAAACACATAAAATATGCACATGTGGAATTTGTTAAGTAATGATCCGAGAGACTTGGCGCGTCATTAAAGTGCTATAAAAGGCATTAGTGAGAGCACAGACAACAGCAGTTGGATATTTAAAAATACCTGACCTAAAAATGTTCGCAAAGAAAAGGAGGATTTGGCTTCTGTGGCCAGAGATGATTTTTTTTTTCTTCCTTTACAGAAGAAACAATTAGTTTTGCTTTGATGTATTTAATATTTAACTTTAAACAAACACTGGTAAATACACTGTATATATTTTCACATTTATTATTATTAATAAACCAAAGGCGGGGTGCATCCATGTCTGTCTTTTTAGTGTATATAAATATGCAAGACTGAGGCACCCGACTGGATGGTAGATGGGAGAGGAAGACGATTCTCTGTAATGGGGTTAAGGTGTGACAGGGTCATCAGTTTAAAAAGCAGCTGATGCCTCTAATGAGCTACATGATCTATTCCCCTGTGTGTAAAGAAAACATTGGGAGCGGCCACGAGTTAAGTGGCCAGTGCACTCGAAAAGGTCCCAGAAAGGCTGCAACATCCCACGCCGCCCCCCCATCCCGTCCTGCTCGCACTCACGGTAACATCCTTGTTTCCAGTAGTATCCCGGCAGGCAGTCGTCACACTTGGGCCCCGCCGCGCCGTCTTTACACTGACAGAAGCCCGTGCCGTTACACCGGTCGTGGATGGAGCCCAGCTGGTTGCAGTTACACTCTGAGGAAAGGCACAGGAAATTTAAGAGATAAAGATTTGACTTGTTAGCGGTAGCATTTGTTTGCCGAACGTGTCAAACTGAAGGCCCAGGGAGGCTAACTACGATCGCCAAGGTTTTTCATGTGGCCCTCTGGGCTCCTGAAGGACACATGAAAACAACCTTCAAACAGTTGTGCGCTTAAATATGATTTTACATCAAACAAATCAAAGTGGTTTTTATCTGCATGCATGCTGCCAAATAACATCAGTTTGAAAATGTTTCATATTATTTATTTATCCAAGAATTATTGATTGAAAAGACAGCAATTTATTAATATTTTAACAGTTTTCTAATGGGTTTTGTCAATAATCTCTGCCACAACAGGCCCTTTGGGGACATTTATGATTCCAAAATGAAAACAAATTTGACACCCCCGCACTAGAGGACGTGCATTTTTCTTCCTTGTTCACTGACATTATGACATAGTTTTGCAACATTTTAGACCGTATAACTACAAACTTTATTGTGTTTTCATAGGAATTTGAGGGAAAGTCCAACAAAGTAGTGCACAATTTTGAAGTAGAAGGAAAAGTATTTATAATGTTCTTTAGGCAACATATCTAACAGCTTTGCATCTCCTGTAGTTTTACCATTAGCCTCTAGGATGCTTCTCTTCCCTCAAAATTTAAAATCGGGCCATACTTTTTTCATTTTGAGATTGTTAAAGATCAGAACTTTGCTAAATAACATGACTCTGCTTTAAGCATCACCGATCTCTGACTTGTTTCAGGCAGTCACCTCCGGCTGAGATTCTGCTTCACGCGTGATATTTCTCATACTCTGCAGAATATACCAAGCATACCCTAATGATTTCTATGGTCTATTTAAGAAAACCTCCGCTGCTCTATGTTTCCTCCTGTGCAGCTTCTGCTTGGTTTTCTCCTAAATTTGAAACCACATTTTTCTACTTCATGTTTCTCCATCAGTTAGAACACATTGGGTGTTTGTGGAGAAAATGTAAAAAAGTCAAACAAAAAAAAACTTCCCATCCTTTTTATAATAGTTTCCATTGTTTTATATTTACTATATTGTTTTTACTGAATTTATACAGTTAAGTCAGTTTAACCTTGATTTGTTTCACCTTTTTTCTTAGCAAAACAAATTCGTAATTTGTTCAGGGACAGCAGATGGATAACGGGAAGCTTAGTCTGGTGCACTTACAAAAATGTTGAATAAAGTGTGTGCATTTTCCCTGCCAAATAAATCAATACATTTCACATTTCAAATCAGATTCACAACCCGGCAGGGAGAGCAGAGCGTCTTCAGAGTGCAGATATGGCAGGCAGTGTTGCAGAGATTCAGATCTTAAGTGTAATCCTTTTCTCTCGGCTAATTATTGCAGTTTCACCCCATTTTTACCACCTGCGAGATATCTGATGCAAAAGCCTCATCCACCAGCTCTTTTGTAATATTTGCAGATATTTTTAGCTCTCTGGACCGAACCATGTGCTTCATAACAACTTTTTCCTGTTAGTGTCTACAGCATGAGTACACAAACTGACTGAAGGTCTACTTGAGGTTAAATTAACGAGCTTTCCGCAAACTTGTCACATGCTTCCTTCCAGAGAACAGCACGGATATCGCCGCCTTGAAGAATTTGCTTTGACTTTCTTCACATTCAGAGCAAAAAAAAAAACATCAAAATGACAGGTGTCCTTTTAAGTCGGAAAGTATTTATTTCAGACGCTGATGACAACCCTTCAGCCACGCGGAGGCGCAAGCTTTTTGATCACGTCTGATTTCAAAAGTAAGTGTCAGAAATGTGGTGCTATTTTCAAAAGCTGGCAGAGATGCAAAAAGTCCCCCTTTTTATGCTGCATTATTTACCAGTTTGTTCAGAATATGATTCTGACTTTCTCAGAATTTGAAGATCTTATGGGCCAGATCTTACGAACCGGTATACGCTGCAAGAAACAGGAAAACAGTTTTGCAGCTTCGACAGAAGTCAAAGGAATACAAAGAGCCTTAAATATATCACCTGTACAAATCATCTCTTGACCACAAGGTGAAAGCAATTTCTTCATCATAAAGTCAGAATTTGTAATTTGCAAGCTGGGAAAATCAGAAACGATCACCTGCTGAAGTCGTATCTTTGATTTGTAAAATTGGAAGTCCCAACCTGACCCACAATTCAATAACGTGGGTTCAGATTCAATAATGGCTGCCCAGGAGTGGAGTGATAATTAATTAACAACCTAAGAAACAAATATATAGGAAATAGGTTCATGAAGATGATATAAAATGATTGTTTAACTAAAAATCCAGCACTATTTTGTGGATATCTAGAGTATCCACAAAATAGTGGATACTCTAGATATCCACAAGAATATTTTTATTCTAATATTGCTATTAGAATAAAAATAATCTTCATGTGTGCTGTTGCCGTTCCAACACTTATCACTCTAATTGTAACTTTGTTCTAATGCCACAAAAACTTAAAAATTCCTTGTTCTAAGATAAAAAAAATCCTTAATCATTTTGTTGAAATACAACTGTCAAATAGTGCTAAGACTCATTTTACTTTGGTGCCAACAGGAAGCTCCTTTACTATCATTTGTAGTTTTCTGCAGTACTCTCACAGTACTTCAGGTCATTTTAATCACTAATAACTAAAATAGGGAACAGGCCTTGATGCTCTTGTAACTGAATGCAATCACCCAACAATCTTTAATTGTCAATCTCATCAAAACAACAGACGGACTCAATAACTTCTTCCTTCCTTTTTTCAAAATAAAAGTTCCAAGCACTGCTTTAATGAGCCTGAATTCAAAACTGTGACCATTTCCAGACTTTGAATTGATAAGCTGGACAGAGCTAAACTTGCAAATGAAGTTATTATAAAAAATGTAAAAAACATAAAAGTCAATATTGAAAAAAACAAACAAACAAATAAGCAGGAAAGTGATTAATATTTCAGTATTTCAGTTCTGTAAGCAGTGATTATTGAGTATATTAATCAAGCTTTTCAGATGATGTTCTTTGCTCTAGAGACCGTGGATGTCTTTGGCCGTGCTCGGTGTGCCACTGTGCGGGCAGATGAGCTGATGGGGTCTTATTTGTGCTGACTCTAAGGCCAGGAACTGTGTGTGCTCTGACTGTGGTGAGTTCACCCTCCAGCCTCCTGCCGTTCACCTACAGATGGCTTAAAATCAACACCAGATTTCACCTCCACAGCTATGCAAACAGATTGTTCCCCAACAGGAACGCTTCACAAAAAAACAGCCGTCGCTGTATGCAGATAAACGGCAAGTGTACACAAATGTGCAATAGTAAATATTTACACGTTTTAAACCGGTCATGCCCCTCATTGTTCTTGTCCCACTCTTCAGCATAGCAGATATGATGGTAATTTACAATGTTGAGTTTCAGCTTGAAGGGTGCCTGAGGCTGTTTGCACCATTCATATTGTAGTCCGTCTTGCTTCAGGGTGCAAAGGCAACTGGCCTAAAACACAAAGTTTTATCTCCAGAACATGGGAATCTCTTGTCAGTTCCTGTACATATTGTTGTGCTGGCTCTGCTCTGATTGAAAGAGAATAAAAAGAAGAGAAGCACGCTTGTTTTATTTCCTGTTGGAGTCTACACAACTCGTGGATTTCAGCATTCAATATACTTTTAATTCTTTATGTCACATCTACGACTGGCGTCAGCACACATTCACTATAATTCATGCTGAACTCTCAACTCTTTTAATCATATACTTACCCTAACTACTCTTCTGCAATAAGTCCAGGCATGAAATTTCTTTGCTACTAAATATTTAACATTTAACATAGTGGCATTTAAACAAAGTGGAAGCAAGTGGAAATGAGAGCAAATCAGATCTGAAGTGGTAGGCCACTTAAAATCACAGCGCTGACGCTGCGCTGAGGCGCATAGTCCACATTGGTCGAGTCAACAGCTGCTTGATAAAATAAGATAATAATTACCGTAATAATCAATTTTATTTATAATGTCCTGTATATCTCAAATTGAAATGGAAAAGATGAGTTAAATTCATTTGTAACTTAGAAAATATATTAATGTGGTCAGAAAGACTTTCCCAAGGGGAAATGAGGGCTAATTTGGAAACAATGTTCTGTAGAAAACAGAGCGCCTTTCAAAAAGAAAAAAAAAGGAAAATAAAGGGAATATTTTACATTATTTCCATTACAGCCATAAATATTTGTGTATTTCATTGAAACCGATTCCAAGTAGAGTAACTGTGGTGCAGAAAGGACATGGATGAAGGATTTCTGAAATGCTTTATAAAAGAAATCAGCAAAACGTTAAATGTATTTGTACTCAGCCTCCACCCCATGGTCAATACTGTGTGGAATCACCTTTCACTAAAAGTACAGCTGCAAGTCTTTAGGGGTCTGCCTCTCCCATGTTTGAACTTTTAGAGCCTGATTATCAAAGATGGTCCTCATTTCTAAAGTCGCTGAGGCTCAGTCAGATTGGATGTAAACATCCATATTCAAGTCTTTTGGCAGATTCCAAGTCAAGGCCATTTTAACCCGTGAATATGCTTTGATGTAAACCATGGGTGTCAGTCACCTATGGAAGAATTTGGTCATTAGCAGGACTCTGTAGCACTTGACTACATGCTGAAGGGCCAATTCAGCTTGATCCAGATGTTGGATGAGAGATGCATCTGGAAACAGCAGGAAACCTCGAGGACTGGAGTTTGGCAGCCCTAATCCAAACTACTTCATAATAGATCTGTATGTTTAGATGTTTAGCTAAAAGAAAGCTTCCACAAAGCATAATGTCAACACCACCATGTTTTTTTATTCTGTGGGAAGGATGTCAGCTTCCTCCACCACATCACATTTTGCACATGGGTCAAAGTGTTTGCATTTTTAGAACAACTTCTTTCATATTTTAGTTGTGTTTCCTACATAGCTTGTGGAAAACTGCTTACAAATTTTCTGTAGCAATTCACCAGCATTGTGGGTCTCTTGGTTTCTCCCCTAATTGATGCTCCCCCTTTTCAGAATATTTGTTCTTTTGGACAAAATTAACGGTTCTGTATCCTCGGCCTTCTTGAAACATTTCCCCAACTTTACCCCTGAGCTGCCTGATGTGGTCCTTTGTTTTAAGATGCTGCTCGTTCACAAACATTTACCATTAAAGATCTGAGGCCTTCGCAAAACAGCTGGGTTTGTGCCGACATTAATTTACAGACTCTGTAAAGTTTACTGGCAGCAGATGACAAACGTCAGCAGGAGCCTTTGCTATGGGAGTTACTGCTACCCAAAATGTAACTTACTGCATGTCTTGCACAACTCCAGTACTTAGACTCCAGTACAAAGTCATGCTAAATAGTTAAAAAAAAAAATGTCAACATTCATAACAGTCCAGTTCAATTTGAGATCATTTTCATATGTTTAGATAATGTCATATGTTTTATTGTATGAATGGTTATTTTTTTTTGTTTGTTCTTGCACATTCAAATTTAATCCTTCATCCACAATAATGCTCAGTTATTCCTCAGCTTAAAACCACATTATATGAGTAATTGTGTTAATTTTCAAAGTAGCATCCTTTTACGTGCTCCTCTATTAGACAGAGAAAAAAAATCCCACTGTGCTGCTATATTGACACACACACACACACACACACCCCACCCCCCCCCCACACACACACACACCAACGCACACACGTTGATCTGACCCCCTCCCCTCCGCACACTCTCATCAACTCCCAGCAGACTGACCGATGCAGACGTTCTCATCATCCAGTTCGGCAGAGGCGTTGCGGAAGTAGCCCAGTCTGCAGTGTTGGCAGTTCTGGCCTCTGGTGTTGTGCTTGCAGCTGACACAAGTGACGATGTTCAGGTAGTCGATGTAGCTGCAGCGGTTGGAGTGGCCGTAGCACTCACAGTCTGGATGAAACGAGACACATTTCAGTTTAGTTCCCAAGTAAAACAGGTTCATATTTAGACTTCAAGGTGTAAATAACCAAAATGGGGAGAGAGGAGGGATTTTATCAAGGGTGGCAGGAAGAAGTGCAAACTGATCCGCTCTAACCAATTCATCAGACAGGGTTAGGTGTCAGTTTGAAGAATAAACTGCTCTGCTTGTGTTTTATGGGGTGCATCTCTCACTCTATATTGGCTCCATAAAGACAAACCACTCCCTCTCCATTAGCACACTACTCGCAGGTTTGCTGAGTCGGCTTCGGTGTGCTGCACTGATTACTGAGGGGAATTCCTCCATCCTGTGTGTTTCTGCGGGCGAGTGTTTGTGTTCCTGCATTTAATCTCTTGTAGGTTCAGGCATGTTAATTCTGCCAGGGAATTTAATTACGTTACCAGGTGATTCGATTACAAGCCGCAAAATCATAAACTGGGGAGTCGGAAGTGAAGGATACAGTCGCTGTTTCTGGACCTGAAGCAGAAACTTGCGAAATCAGCCTGACCCTCATTAGCGTGATGGGTCCAGTTGAGAGCGCAGCAATAAAACGAGATAGATAAAACTAGCTGAAATTTAAATAAGATGCATTTGGGGCAGTTCTCCTCAGCAAGCCTGTTCTCCTTAAAATCAAACCCATGGGTCGTTCATGCGTGGAATAACAACTTTGTGATCACTTTTAGGAATATGACAGATCCAGTGGTCATGAAGGCTAGAGAATGATCAAAATTAAGGCTTTATTAATTATCATCTTAATGAAAACATGGTGTGGTTAATATAATATATATTTAACTGGAATAGTTTTTTTTTTTAGTATTATTATCGGCACATGTGCAGCAGATGGTAAATCTTCCTGTAAATGATTGGCTTGAGTTTATTATGGAGCACTGAAACATTTGCATGAATCTGTGCAATGTACCGCTTCACATTGATTAAGCTGTTGTTCAAACTAATATTTATTTATTTATTTATTTTTAGCACTGTATTCTGATCTGATGCTTCATTTTCAATTCAATATGACTCCAACAACTTTCACTAAACCTATAGTTGTTTGAACAATGCAGCTGAGGTGAAATAGTCGAAAAACGAAGAGCTAATATGAATACAACATTTATAACTTTGGCAATAAAGACATGTTGCATAGAATGATAGGTAAAAATACATTGTGTGTGTTTGTGCACTGCTATAATTCAGCATGCTATTATTAAATAGTAGATTAGCCTATGGATTATTTAAAGTTAGTGTTTATGCAGCTGCTTTTTGAGGCAGGTTCTCGACTTTGAGGTAGCGCCAGTGTCACAATCGCAGTGCTTATTTGCAGCTGTATCTGGGCGAGAGGCAGAGTACACCCTGTGCAGGTCGCCAGTCTGTCCCAGCAACACTAGCCGAAACCCCTCCCCCCCCCCAAAAAAAACGACAGCAACAACAAAACAAGAAAGGAAAATTGTGCCATGATTGGAATAATTTCTCTTCAGAGAGAGATTAATGATATTAGGAGCAGAGGTGTCTGCATTGTGCAGAGGTGTCTGCATTGTGCAGAGGCGGTGCAGCGGTGTTGCTCCACTCTCGCTGATTATCTTGGCTGAGGCCGCTTCCTAATTAAGCTTTTATTAAGCTTTAGAAGTTGGCTGCAGTAGTGTGCTGCAAGGCATCACTGTCCTCTAAAGAGGCGTTTACCGGGCATGTTTATGCAAATACACATTTAAATGCACATTAAAAAGTCGGAATTTAGCTGTTTAATCAGCCGTCACATTATTATTTTATTATTGTTCGGCTGATGATGCCAGCTAAAATATTAATGAGCCGGTTTAAGGAAGCCAACACAAGGAGAACCATAAAGTGCCTCTCTCAGCACTGAGGGAATCGTGCAAGCAGTAGGGGAGACCTGCCTAATTAAATATAAATGGCCAATTACTTTCCAGACTGGAAAGGGAATGGGACATTCTTCCTCAAATTAGTGTTATGAGTCAAGATGCTGGTTTATTGGTATTTATCAGTTGCGAATGGTTAACAGTGAAAGGTCACAGTGAGAGAAAGAGGAAAACCGTCCGGACTGACTATTGTGAGTTTATAGCAACAATTGCATATTTTCCAAACAAGAGTCCTTTTCAGAGGAGAAAAAGAAACGTGAACAACCAGCAGGTGTTTGAACAGCAGCAGGAACACAAAGTGCAACTTCTTACCTTAATCATGAACACAAAATGAACACAGCCATGAGAGGGGAGCAGGCGCAGAGGGAAGGAATGAACAAAGAGGGTCAGATGAAAAAGACGGAGCAAGGCGAAGGAATTTTTCTACAAATGTTCCACTTTTACACCAAAGAATCCAGAAGGTGCATTGAGATACAATCCTTCTGTCCGGTTCTTTGGACCCGCTGCCAAAAAAATCGACCTCTTACCTTTAAAATTGTCATATACGATCCCGAGTAACTGTTTGACCTGAGGCTCTCCTGAGATCAAGAGTTTCAGAAGCCCTTTGGGGAAATCAAGGAACCTTTGTTTAAGATTCATGTCATCCACCATGCCACAGTCTTCTACTGCACTTTACATTCTCACAGCTGGAGTCTGCATAGCCTAGAGGACAGTATCAGAACAACACTGGAGTCTAAAGAGGAATCTAATAGATTAGGTGTCTGGGATTAAAACCTAAGTCTTTGTGAGAAAATGGGTTGAAATTGTTCTGCAAAGCTGATAGACTCTACAACTACTGCAGAGTTCTTTACTGGTTGGACATAATTGAAACAAAATTCATTGACAGAGAAATGTTTTGTGTTGTTTTCTAGTTACAAGTATGTTTTGATGTGGCTGAAAAGGCGATGTGTTCACAAGTGGTAATTTGTGTAAATTGTTATTCTGAAACAAACTAAAAAGTAGGAAACCAGCGTGGAACTGGTTTGAAGTTTCTTGGGTGTTGACAGGAAGGCATCAAAATTGAGATTGAGATGTTTCAAGAATTTCTTCACGCTAACAACTCATTACATGTGTTTTTATGCGTCCGCATTCAAGGGACGATAAGAAACAGAACTCCGAGACCGTAAGCAGGGCAGCAAGCCTCACTTCAGCACAAATACTGCTAACAAATAGTTGCAGAAAAACAATAAGCTCTGCTTTGGCAATCCCATAAGCCTGCCTCAGCTGCGTAACTGTGTAATCAATATGTACAACCAGTTAGGAACCGCTGTGCGACCACATCAATGCAGGATTCTACCTTTCTTTTTCCCTCTTTCTTTGTCCTCGTCGTCTTCTTTCCGAACACCATGTCTTATGGTCCCGTGACCACCTCCTCCTCTCCCGTGGTTTGCAATGATACTGTGCTCTACAAACGATCCACAACTCGAAAAATCAATTTATGTTTGCTCAGCATGGTTTAAATGAGTGGTTTACCAAGTGACATACAATGCTGTGAAAATAATTTGCTCCTTTGTTAATTACTTCTTTTTTTTGTTGTTGTTGTTGTCAGTTTTTAAGTTTTAACTTTATTGGGGACACAGACACTTTATTACTGCCAGATTCAAAAAAAAATTATTTGACACCATTAAACAGGCTGAAAAATTTGCTGAGCAAGTCATCGTGCTTGAAGCTAAATAAATCCAACAACAAATGAAAAAAAAAAAAAATCTCTGACATCCATCAGTGTGGAAATTGTTACACCTAATGACCCCCAGGACTTTTGGCAAAATATTACACACCAGCATTCAAATGAGTTAAATGCTGGCATAATGTTGCTGACTTACTGTATAAGTAACCATGACTTTTGCTCTCTACCACAATAGAAAACCTGAAGGGAAATGTCTGTCCAGTTTGGGGCTTTAAGCTGGGTCATTGATCTGAATCACACCATAAAGTCCACCTTTGAAACACTTAGAAAATAAAAATTGAAAAGTCTAGACTATGACTGCAGCATAAACTTGAATAGACTGGTCACACTTGCAACGTGGCTAAATTATAACATTTTTCCTGAGAGCAGGGAGCCAAAACTCCTTGACAGTGGAGTAAATGACTCCTTGGTAATTAACGTAGCTATTGGGTTTCGGAGGCAAATACCTTCCCACAAAGGGCAAGGTAGGTTTGAATAGCTTATACCACGATAAATGAAATCATAATTATACAATTTTCTTTTTTTCTTTGTTTGTCGATCTCAAACATTTAAGTGTGAGGAAAAAATATAAACTGAAATAAATCTGTAAGTGGGCAAATACTTTTCATGACACCATAGTACAAACACTACTACAAAGTCAGCATCATTCACAGATTTTTGAGTAAAAAATTATTGACATCAATAATAATGATAATAAAAAGCCAATACCAAATGCTTACAACACTCTGATTAGAGTGAAACTGCATATTTGATCTTTACTTTGTATACCGTGCAGGTTTTTTTTTCTTACTTCCTGCCTTCAACATCACTAAAAGCCTTTCATAAAATAATATGGCACTACTATTACGACCAGATCAAGATTTAGCAGTATTGCTCATGTTGACTGACAGGTAATTATTCAGTTGAAGAGATAAGTTTCGATGCATTTTCCCTCTCAGCGTGAGCTGCCAAGCCTAATTTGTTGTAAATGTTTATCTACTCCGCTTGCGCTGCCTCACATGTAATGTAGTATTCATAGCTACTGTAAATCTACGAGCGCGTCGCAATGACTGCATAAAATCGAAGTACCTTCATTTTCAGCCCTCCTGTGGTTGTGAGCGTCCTCCCTGTCCTCCCCATGCCGTGATGGGATTGGTGCTTTGTGGCCGTGAGTGCTGTGTGCGTGCTCCTCAGAACCATGTGCGACTGAAATGCCATTATCAGCAGAGATGTAAGTAAAGCTCTTACGTTGATTTATAGGAAGATCTCTTCCACAGCATGTAAAGAGAGATACCTGTTTCCCTGTGCCCTCCACTTTCCATCTGATGTACAAATGATGTGGATTTGTGGGCATGTCCTTCAGACTTATGAGGGTCTTCACAACCAGAAACAACACTTATTATTATTATTATTATTAGGAGATTCCAAATGTAAGTAATGAGGAATTATTCTATTCTATGCTATGCTACACTCTATCTAGAATATTGATACACAACCAAGAGGTACCTGGGCTATGCCGTCTCTCTCCATGCTCTGATTTGTGGCCTTGAGTATCATGTCCATGTCCATGGGACTTGGAAGCATCTGGAATCAATATTGAGGTTACAAATAAACATCTGTTGTACATCACTAGTTGTTTTTGTGCATTCGTTTTTGTAGCTTTTTTTATTTTATTTTTATTTTTTTTTTACTTTTGTGCTTGTTGTATGAAACTACCACAACATACTGTGTTGCAAAGGTATTCATATGTCTCAAGGTTTTTTTCAACATTTTGTCAACTTGCAGTTACAAATGTAAATGCGTCTCATTTGGATTTTATGTGATAAACCAAGAAAAAAGTAGCACATGCTCGTGAAGTAGATTATTTATGATTTTAGAAATAAAAATGTGCGCACATTTACATTCCTCCCCTTTTGATCCGATACTCTAAAATAAAGCCTGAGACTAGGGACCAACAATAGATTTCTTCTTGTTCACAGGTGGACTCTGCTCAGCAATTATGCAATGTCTAATTGCAATTGGTCGCACATCATTTTTCGTAAAACTAAATCTGCTCCACCTTTTTCAGGTTATTTTCCAAACACGTCACAAATAACACAGAATGTTGGTTTATCACATCAAACTCCAATGACATATGTTGAAGTTTCTGGTTGTGATGTTACAAAAATATATATTAAGAGGTCAAAGGCTTTGAATACGTTTGCATTATGCTGTATCTGACAGTTCTACCTGTCATTTCAACATTTCTGGGCGCGTGCTCCTCCTCTCTGTGTCCATGCGAGGCTGTTGAACTGTGACCATGAGTCTCATGTCCGTGGGACTTGCCATGGCCTGGATTAACATTTTGATTTATTAAGATCTCTAAGAAAACACTCTAAAAATATCTTTCCTCAGTTTCTAATTGATGTTAGCTTTCATTTTGTTTTTCATATGTACCAACATAATGTGTCTATGACCCAATCTTGGACTAAATCTGGTAAATATACCTGTCACTTGAGCTTTTCTGTGTGTGTCCGACTCATGTCCGTGTCCATGAGACGCCGAAGGATCTGGAATAAGTGTTATCAAAAAAAAAAAAGACAAGTCTGCACAGCATTGTCCTTATATTTTCTCCCCATTTTACAAACGTATCTGTTATGTATCAAACATTATTTGATTCTAAGAGAACAATATCTACTCCCTCTAACAACTATACCTGCAGTTTGAATCACTTCAACTTGTCTATGGGAGTGCTCTGTCTTTCCGTGTCCTTGTGAGGCTGGCGGGTTCTGACTGTGATGTACATGGGCGTGAGACACATGAGCATCTGAAATAATAATTGTCAATAAAATACCAGATGAAAAAAAACTGCTTTTTGCAGCTTTTGACTCTTTTGGGGGCATGCTTTGTAAATGTGGATGACCTCAATGTTTTGAAGAAGTTTACAAAAACTTCTGACTATCCCTCTAAAAGTTTACCTGTACTTTCCACTTTTGTGTGTGTGTGCTCCGTCGCTCCGTGTGAAGTAGCGGATTTGTGGCCATGGTGAGTCTGAGACTCATGAGGATCTGAAATACATGTTTTCGTTTAGCTTACGAGTAAATGCTCGAGTAAATATCTACCTTTTGCACATTTAAATTTCAGTTATTTTCTGTAAACTTACATATTTAGTATTAGTGACATTAGAGTTTTCAACTGAAATGTCTCTGCTTTCTATAACATGTACCTGTCCTTTCAGTGTGTGTGTGTGTATGCCCCTCTTCTCCATGCCCATGTGGGGTTGCTGGTATGTGACCATGAGCATCATGTACGTGTCCACTAGGCTTGAGGGGATCTGAAATAAATCATTTAATATTAAGAATATAAACAAAGTGTTTCCTTCTTACACTTTTAAGGTTCCAATGGCATCATTTTGTTTATTTATTTTCCTGATATTGTGATATATCATTTAAAAATCATACAGCGCCTAATTTTAAAAAAGTATGCTACTATTTTCTAATTAAGATTTCAGATCATTTTGGTAAACTTGCAGTGTCTCGAGAAATTATTCACACATCTCCTGCTTTTTCTTACTTTGTTACAACCACAAACTTCTGTGTATTTTAGAGAATTTAATAGAATTTATTTAATAGCAGACCTACATAAAGTAGCACATACAAATGCAGAGAAAGGAAAAGGATGCATAGTTGACCACTTAAACTGGCATGTCTGGCAAGGTGTGCATTACATATACCGAGTGACCCAGTATACGTAAATCTCAGCCCAGCTGATCCGGAGCTTATTCGCAAAGAACGGGCAAATATAACACATTATGCACATTTCATATTTTTATTTGTAAAAACTGTCAAAAAACCTGTCTCCTTTTCCCTCTAGTTCACAGCTACACACTAATTGCTGTTGCACCATCACATGAAATCTCCCCAAAAACGTTAAAGTTTGTGGTTCTGATGTAGCAAAAAGCAAAAAAAAAGTGGCTGGCTGTTTTCTCTCTCTGATGTTTTCATCAGTCCAGCTTCAGATTATTGCCATAAGATTATTACATCCATACTGTATACCTGTCCTTTCTATTATATTGTGTCCGTGCCCCTCCTCTCCATGTCCAGGTGAGGATGTTGTTTTGTGGCCTTGTGCGAGCGTCTCATGCATCTGGGAGACTGATGCAATAATGTTCATTAATATAGGCAGCAAACACTCACACTCACTTTTTCTGTTTCTAGTAGACACACACTCTAATATAAAGAAACCACTGCCAAGATCACAAACTGAATAGATACCTGCTTTTTGTGTATTACTGTGCCCTCGCTCATCTGTTGCTGTTTTATGGCCATGAGTCTCATGAACATGTCCATCGGATTTGTGGGGGGCCGACAAAGCTATCATGAAAATAATACACATATTTAAGATGTTTTTTTTTTCTTTGGGCATCCATTCAGAAAACATTATTATTCTGTTAATAATAGAAGTGTGTTACCTTTTCTCTCCTCTCCATGATGAGATAATGTCTGGCTCTGAATTACATGTCCATGTTCCTCAGATGTGTGCTGGTCTGGCCCATCAATTTTAGTGTTAATACAAAAATAATAATAATAAAAGATTAATTTTACTTTCATACATTTCTACAAGGTGTAACTTGTAGGTAAATCTATTGAAGCCCTGGAAGGAAAGTGATTTTCCTCCATCTCTTTCAGGGACAAATTTTTTGAAGATTGTATATGTACTTTTGCTTGTGAGCAAGTCAAATATTTTTTTCTTGAAAATCATCACAGTTCCTATTAAATAAAGGAAAAGCTATTGGCATGAGCTCACAAATCATTGTGTCAGGAAGGAAAGATCCAGTTTATAAAACACATTATGTGTGACTTATATCTCTTGCATTTCAAGCATTACACACATTTCGACTTAAGCCACCCGATGCAGTTCTCCCACATAATGCACTTCCAACCACTACAACTAATAAGGGTACCTTTCCTTCCAGCTTGTGTTTCTATGTGGCCCTCTCCATGATGAGATGATGTTTGATGCTTCAGAGTCCCATGCGATTGTTCCTCAGATGCGTGATGGCCTAACACAACACATTATTCTAATGTCATCCATTAAAAAGAACGAAGAATTATGTTTCCATTTCTCATCTACTTCATTGGAGTGGAGCTAACATTGCTGAATGAGTATGAGTTCTCAGGATACTACAGAGGTTAGGATCTCCAAGTGAATGTATGTGTGTGAAACAAACTAAGATGGAAAACGTGAAACTACAGGGATGTAAGAAAATTTCTACAGGACGGATTTTCTACCTGTGAATCGTTCACAGTGACAGAAGGCTTTTCTTTTTGTATGTTTTGCCTCACCTTTCGTTCCGTGAAACTGTCGCTCAGATGTATGGGAGACTGATAAACATCATCGTTAGCAACACACGGCATAATTGTTACCTTTTATTCCAGACGTAAAATACCACACGAGTAACATCCGTGGAATTTAAGTTGTCCAAAATGACAGGACATGCAAATGATCATTTTTGTTGTCTGTTTATCGAAACAATCTGTAATTACATGCTAATACCTGTGGTTTCAGCTGTTCTGTGTGGATGCTCCTCATGCCCGTGACCGGCTGGTTTAATGTGTTCCTGGGTGTTGTGCCCATGTGTGTCTGACGCAGCAAGATTGCAAAGAACAAAATAAGAAAAATAAAACACTCTGAATAGTTCCTAATTACATTTTAGTCCTCACATCAAACTTTCAGTGTCTTTCTACCCGTTTGTTCATTGTTATTTCTCTTGAGGAAAAAAAAAATCCCTGGTAACTTTAATTTGAATAAAATGATAAACAAACCCCAACCCCACAAGTGAACAAGATACCTATGCTGTTAGTCTCCTCTTGCCTATTTTCCTCTGAGCTTGTTTTGTGTCCGTGGTTCTCATGGTTGTGGAGGACTGCAACATTGAGATTTTTATGAAAATTGAGATAATTAAGCAAATCATTTTTTTAAAGCTTCTAATGTTTACAGCATTGTGACTTTCAAAGTCAATATTTTTGTTGACTCTGCATTGATTACCACAGAAATAAACTAGAGTTCAAGCATTCATTGATGGCATTAAGCTTTATGTTACATCCTGTAATGATACCTTGTCTTTCTGGGGATTTTTCACCCTCTGCTCTGTGTTCAGATGCTGCTTCATGACCATGAGCCTGATGTATGTTTTCTCCATGACTGCTGTGAGCTGAAACACCACAATCATTACTATAAAAGCAGCACATCTATATATTTTTACAATAACTTTGTCAAAGACTGCAAGCTTAAGGACATCCACTCTATCACCAGGCTCCACCTGCCTGTCATGCATTTTAAAATTTTATTGCTAACTCTCTAATTTTGGTTATGACAACAAATTTAGTGGTAGGAGCGCTACAGTTTAGAAATGGAATCTAAAATTAATATGTGACAAAGTTATGAAACTGTTGAAAGTGATATTTCTGAACCCAATAACATTTTATCTCATGACACTCTCTTCAAACACTGTCTGTCCTGTTGAGGATTCACTCACCTCAGCATGCTAAATTCTTGAAGTTTCTGTCAAGACAGACTAACTTTCTGTTGGAATAAGCTGATGTTACTTGGCCACTTGGGCGCACTCATGAACGGTTTATAGCTGATTGAACTTTCAATGTAAGTTGTGAAGTAGGACAAAATCAATAAAAACCCACTACAGAAAGTAACTTATTTTGCCATTCATATACTTAGCATGCACACTTAGCATCTACATCTGGCACACATAAAAACCTATACACTCACTTCATGAATAAATACGATTTTACTTCAGAATCACAATTTCCTAAGACCTGAAGTCACATAGAAATGTGTTTCTGGTTCCACCAACAGGCAAGGCAAGACAGACAGCAGAGTTACAGCTTTAAAATGAGAAAAACTCTTAAAAACAAGAATATACCTTTAATGTCTTCATGCCCGTGCTCATGGCCTTTCTCTCCATGTGACTGGGATGAAGTGGGTGTTTTGTGGCCATGGGGTTGATGTGAGTGTCCCTCAAACATGTGGGAAACTGTCACATCACAGATGCCATTGTTGTAAGCAAAGCCAGGAAGAAAGCAGACACTAAGATGCATTCCTGCCTTGATTCTGTCATTGCGTCATTTACTACTGTTAGAGGTCATGTTGAGAAATTAACCACTATTGGTTTCTACTGCTACGGTAGAGATTATGTATCCATGTGACACTACAGAGCTGCTGCATTACATACCTGTTTGAGACTTTGTGTTTTTTCCCTCTTCATGTTCAGGTAAAGTTGCTCTGTGGCCATGCACCTCATGTCCATGTCCCTCTAACTCATTGGAAATAATCAAGACATGATTGTTATTTCCAAAATGAGGAAAACCGTCTGGGGAGCCGAATATCAACAGCTCTTTTAGTAGCCATCAAGCTGCCAATGCTTTTTCTAAGTTAGGGCATTGTGATTTTAAGTGATTTTTTTCAGTTTTTCTGTCTCTGAGGCCAGTTATATAAGTAAATATTTGCAAACTACAATGGCAATTAATTTAACCCTCACGCCCCCCAAAAAAGCTACAAATATTTGCCTAGATAGGATTTCTTTTGGTCTTATGTTATCGCACTCAAGCAGTGACCTTGAGGGTCTAATCTCAGAACAACCGATCAGAACGTGAACATAGAAATTTGGTTACCTGTCTTGTGAGGATTTGCCTTTGTGTGCTGCTCTTCACCGTGTTCAGACAGGCCGGCTGATGCATGAGCCTCATGTACATGTCCCTCCGTCATATGGGAAACTGGCAAACCAAGGTTTTCAGCGAAATCTCAAACATTTTCTATTGTTTTTCACCAAACATGAAAGTCTACGGAGCTAATCACTAAAACTAATTCTCAGATTCATAAATACCTGTCTTCTCAGTATCAATGCTGTCTTTTACGTGCCCAGAGGAGGTTTTTGTCGAGTGTCCATGAGTTTCATGTTTGTGTCCCATAGATGCATGAGGGTCTGACACAACAGAATCATTATAAGAAGCATAAAGAATTAAAATGTTCTGTTATGTCCAGGTTAATATTGCCTGCACATGTGAAGAGATACCTTTAATTTCAACATGATTTTCTGTTTGCTTCCCTTTCTCTCCATGTGCAGGTGAGGGTATTTTGTGGCTTTGAGTTTCATGTGTATACTCTTCAGACTTGTGGAGGTCTGAAAAATCACAAGGTTAACTGAAATAGCAAAGGAAATTTCAAGACTATGTACTGTATTTCAAAAGTTTCTTTAATTTTCTTGGTTGCCTGACAGCAGTTTTCCCTCTGAATGGTTTATGATTGATTAAACTGGAAATTATTCAATCTAAGAAAACCGGAGTTGGTTGATCGTTGTATGGAAAAAGGACAACGTATCCGATAAGCTCAGCAGAAAACTCCTGCTTTGGTAATGAGCTAATTATTTTATGACTTCTGTAAAGTGGAATGCCAGAGTACATAGATTTTTATCTTAATAGCTGTACAAACTGATTTGTGATAATGATGTGAGGTAGCAAACACTGGAGTGCCTTATCTGAGCCGCTAATACAAGGCGTTGCATGTAGCCAGCTCTAATGACTTTTATAGCAGCAAACACAATTTATGCCCCCACTTAGTGTTAAGTTATGGATCCTCTGTAACAGTCTGGGCAACGACTCCGAAAGCTGTAACCAGAGCTCATCAAATAAACCAGACACTTATTTTTTAAGTTCTCCATAATTATCCTGAGATCAGCTGCAAACATTGTCCCCTTGATAGGAAAATATTTGCAGCTTCAATATATTTATGGTTCCCAGATACAAATATTTGCTATCTAGCCGTTGCTCTTTGCCTGTATTATATTCTGGCATAATATGTGGCCTATGTCTGCAATTAAACGATAGCTTTACAACTACTGCTGCATGATGTGATGGTGAGGAAGACTACATCCCTGAAATATTCCTGTAGAATGTTTTGAACAGTAGGAAAGGCTAAAATTGCCATTTGGTCTCTCATTTGAGTTCTCAAAAACATACATTTTCCTCTAAATCGACCTCGTCTGAATTGTTCATATGATGCTTTACCATTTCCAATTTGGAAGAGATTCTCAGGAAGAGATCAGCTCCTTGCACAAGAACAATAAACAGCTACAAAAGATAGCAAAGCCCCCCACAGTTCACAAGCTCAAACTTAAAAAACAAACCTGCTACCTGCATGATTCCTGAGGAGGAAGGTTGTCAGAAAACCACTGACTGACATCGAAAGACTGGCAGGAAGACTTCCATTTCCAAAGTAACACACGCAATAAACACTAAAAGGACCACTACCCAAACTCCAAGACATGCACCACAACCTTAGTTCCAGAAGAATTCATGTAGGATTTTGGACTGGATATCATGGTTGTCTGACTTGATCACTAGTGAAAATCTAGTGGGAATTGACAAAGGAGGAAGCCGCACACAAAGCCAAAGAGTTTTAGAAATGGGTTTAATAATTATAAAACTGGCGCAGACATTAAAATGGCCTTTGTGTTGAAACTTATATATTCAATTTGTTCAATGCAAACAGCTATAAATGCAGGGATTTGCTGATAGATCTGCTTCACAGTTAAAATTAAATCTCGTTAAGAGCAAATGTTTGCACAATTACAATAAGCTATGGCTGATTGAAGAACTAACATCCAAACAAAATGGATACCTTCAGCCTCTGCATGTCCCTCCGCCTCTCTCCGCTGCCCTTCGTGTTCAGATAAAGTTGTCGGTTTGTGGCCGTGAGTCTCGTGTCGGGGCTGTGGACTGTGGGCACCTATCACAGAGCAACACTGTTTACACAAAGGTCCTCAAAAGGAGGTGAAATTTATTTTCCCCCTTTTCTCTAAAAGTCTGGTTTTCATTTTGAGCCCATCAGCTTCAGTCGCTGTCTAAGTGAATCTATGATGATGCTCTTGGTGTCAAAAATTGCCTCAATGACAGACCACTTTGTCGGCGAAGAGATGAATTTATATAGATCTGACCTTGAGTTTTTATATGGCCATTTTTCACTCTGAGCTGTCAACGTCCATAATAAAAAAATTTATTTTGCGCACGAGAGTTAAGTCTGCCTCTACATTTACGTGAAATACCTGTCGTTTTAGATGTTTCCTCTTCGTCCTCCTCTTCCTCCATGTCTTGCTCATGCTCAGTGGAGCTTGTTGCCTTGTGTCCATGACTCTCATGCACAGACTTGTGGGAAACTGAAGAACCACAGTCATAATCAACAACACTAGAACAGAGACCTTGTGGGGTATTTCCTCAGCAGCCTGAACAATACAAACTTCATAATTAGGCTGATGCTGCAGCAGCTAAAGATTACTGATAGTCTATTGTCTTCCTGCCTTCTGCTAAGACCTAGTTTTCTTTTTTCTTGTCTTTCTTTCTCTCTCTCTCCCCCTCTCTGTCAGATAGCGGATGGGCCCTTTGGGGGCCTCAGCCCTGGGCTTCGGGAGGGATGGGGGAGAGCTGAGAGAGTCAGAGGGGCTTCAGCAGCTTCTTCATGGCTACATTTTCACACTGGGTGCAAAAGTTAGAACACGCTCCCGCTTTTATGTGAACGTCATAAATGTGTCTGAATGTTCGTTCCCCCTTTTTTATCCAAACTATACCGAGACAAAGCACAAAATACCTGGCTTATGATACAGTAACGCCTTCTCACGGATGTATTTTCCTGTGTCAAGATGAGAACAAAACATCTCCAATCAATACCAGCTAACCTCACACACACATACCAATTGTAACACATTTTTAATTGCCTCTGCCTACTTCTCCTTCAGGGCTTTATATTGTTCCCAAGATTCTCTACTGTATGCTTTTTGGGCTAACAGATTGAGTCCAACAAAAAAGGAGAGATGTGAAACCAGTTTAGTTAATACAGAGCAGGTCTAAAGTTTACAGAAACACATCAAGGGCATGAACTTTAAGGGTTTTTCAAAACAGAAAGTAGGTGAACGAGTTTCATTTTTTCATAACATTTTTTTGAAAAACTATACAGTTTTTCCTAGGAATTAACAAGGTTGTGGTACATGTCTGGCTGAATATTTGACCACTCTTCTTATCAGAAATAATAAAGCTTGTGTGGTAGCTTCCTGGCACAGCCTTTGCTTTCAAGCAAAAGTCATAAATCTCCAACAAGGCTGAGGTGAACAATTAAAAAAGCTTAACATTAGCCAGCTTTAGCCATTCCAAACCAGCTTCAATATGTGCTTGAGGTAATTATTCTTTTGAATCACCCAGCTGTGGCACATTTTTACTCATTATGATGTTCAAGATCAATCCAGGAACCGCCTCGGCTTTTGCCTGTATAAAAATATAACTGAGGTGTATGACATCAGCATCGTGATCATGAAAGAAAGATCTGTCCAAAGTAGACACCTTCTATCGCATCTGAAACGTGAAGCTGCCTAAATGTTGAAATCAAATGCTTTCTTGCTCTGTGTTCAGAGAACATTTTTCTAAGAATAAAATGTGTGTTTGGAAGAGTCAAGGTAAGACTTGGAAATGTTTTTGCTGCCAATGACACTGGTGCAGTAAAAGACATCAGTGGGTAAAATACAGAAGAGAGACGATTTTCAAATTCAGCTCAATTCAACAGATAAGACTGTTGAATACGACTGAATTTTCCAACAAGACAATGATTTGAAATGCACATGAACATGGCTTTGGAACTGCTAAAGCAGACTATCATTGCACTTCTGTAGTGTCCTCACCTTCGACTCTACTGGAAATGGTTGAAAGCAAAGCTTAAATGTCAGGAAACCAGCAAATTTAATGGGACTCTACCTTTCTTGTAAGAAGACAGATCGAATTTCCAGCCAGAATAATTGCGCTTGACAGACACAAGCAGTGTGTTATTACTTTGCTACTTGCTAAAGGACATGTAACTAGATATTAGAGCGCAGTACATATAGTGTATGCACTATATGTTATAACTCTTTTTGTATCAGATGAAATACAATATAAACTCTTGGTCAGACTGCTGCTGGCCAGATTTAAATGTAGATCAGGTATTTTCATCAATAAAAGCATGGTTCATTAAGTTAAACTGCCACAGTCTTCCTCAAAGAGATGATTGCTAACAAAAATGTGAATAACTAATCAAAGTGAGTGACCACACCATGAACATCATTGAGGGACTAATGATTGCCGGCCTGCTAGAGACTACGGAGCTGCATGCCTCCATCTGTGTTTCCCCCCGTGAGGTGTTTAGAGCGGGTGCTTTTTCAGATGGGGGGATTCAGCAAGCATCCTGCTCCCCTGCGGTGCATCCCCCTCCAGGCTACCTCCCGCCCACTCGCTCTTTCGCCCCCCTCCTTCTCTCTCTCTCTCTTCCCTACTTTCCCTGGGGCTCCGGTGAGACAGGACGTCGGCTGCTGTTCTCACAGAACCCAGAACCGTTTCACACAACTGGCATCATGCCATCGTTGCATCTCATCAAAGTTTACCCTGCCTACGTCCCTCTGACTGTGTCCTCCTCTGGCCCAACCAGACCCGCCTTCTCACACATCTGTCACACTCGCTCGCTGTGGCGAAGCGGGATTCTGAATCACGGGTTGTTTCGGGGGCTGCCGTTGCGCAGCGGAGAGCGTAAATGAATTTGATCTCGGTAACCTGCGCTGCCTCGGGGGCAGAATGATTCTCGGTATTAATCTCAGTCAGCTCAGCCCCAAAACTGTCTGACATCAGACGTTGGCAGCCGAGGCATTCCAGGTTCTTGCTCATTCTGCAGCGACTGAAAGCGAAGGGCTGTGAGAGAGTCGGTGGGGCTTTGTAAGGATAGACAGTGATGAAGCTCTTCATCTGCCCCCTCGCAGGCACGCTGACATCATACATAAACCAACACACAGTTACCTCTAACAATACAGTACGTCTTTATTTATGCTTTCAGAGTTTGTACATTAATGCTGGAGACGCTGTAGTTTGTAATGTGCTGCAGCTAGGTGAGGTTAAGTTGGGCTTTGCCCCGATTCTGTCTGCTTTGTCTTTGTGTCTTTTCTCGGCTCTGATCCTGTGGCTGATGTTCCTCAATCCCCTAAATGTCTCTGAATGATGCAAACACAATGCCAACTGTAGTCATTCCTTCAAAGACTTCCCTATATCGCACATTAAACTTTCCCTCATCAGTACGCGCGCTCAGCCTCATACCCTCAATAAGGAAATCTCAGTGAACTCAACAATTCCCTCTGACATGTGAGATGATGCAGGATTACATAGAAAATAATCCCAAAATAAAGCAGCCTGGTTGGAAAATGACCCCCCAAGTCAGATTTTGACTAATCTAGTCAATGATGTGCCTTACCTCCATCAGTTAGGCTTGAATGATGCTGAACTTTTACGGTAGGCTCTTCTATGTAATGATGCTGATGATGATGATTAGGGACAGAGTGATGAGAGGAACCTTCTGGAACAGGGTGGGACAGATGTGAAAGCTCGGGGACTGTTTCTGAACGAGTGAACTCCCTCGGCGGGGAAACTCCCTTCTCCCCCTGCGGAGACGACAACGAAGGAGGATGGAGCTCTGTTCTGACAGGAAGCGTGTCAGATTGTCCCATCGGTACCAGCGGAGGCTCCGATGAAGTGAGGGTGGATAACGCGTGGTGCGTTTGAGGGACTGAGCCCTCTGTAAATCTGCTTTCTGGCGCCGGAGCTCTGCTGTCTGTTGAATCAGGTGCAGGAGGACAGAGAATGTAAATGCAATGAGGAATGAGCAAGCTAAGGCATTAGCATAAGAGATGCTGCCTCAGATTGTTTGTCTGAAGAAAGCCGAGCTTTTCTTTTGCTAATTCACACTCGCGCACACACACACGCAAAAAGTGAGAACGCACAATGAAAGTGTGATTTCACACTGCTGAGATAGGCTAAATTCAAAAGCTGTTCCACGACCCTTTCACTGCTGGAAGTACTGTTCAGCTTTCCAACATTGTGCGTTTTGGGGGTGTGACCATTGTTGACCTGGTTTATAAATAAAAAAAATTACAATATCATTCATTGCGTTGTTACCCAGTCATATACTAGACTGTCTATGCTTAAATTCTCACTATGCCGAGAACCAATGAATAACATCATTTGTATCCGTACATTCTCTTTTTCAGGAGGCATCACTGTTTTCTACTGACTTAATGATTGTATTGATAGGTATTTGTCATTGAAAATACAAACGTATATGTCCTCACAAATAAGCTTTCAGATACAGAACTACTTTATCTATGTTTTTATTTACTTCTTTAATATTTTGCACTTTACATATGCCACATTTCTCTCATCTCAAAAATACTGCTAAAAAAATACATTTCTTTTTCTGTTAAAGGTAGCACATCTCATATCATTAGCAATTCTAAAAATGTGTGTCTCTTTTTTTTAATCATATCTCTTTATTACCATAGAATATTTGTTTATGACTGCAGTTTTTCTTTTTGGTTGTTAATTTGGATAGACGTTTCTCAGAAGTTTTTGTTTCTTCTGTCAGTGCCAGCCAGATCGATCAAGAATTTCCTCTTCACACCGTGTAACTTAAGTTGCATCTAGATAATGGCGTCTGTAACAGAATCTAATCCGATAATGACGCTCGTCTTCCATTACAGGACTGACATAACAAAGATTAATTCTAAATTACTACCATATTCTGTTTTGTACATACATTGGAGTTGCTACACTAAATACGCTGCATGGTTTGAAAGAGAGAAGAGACAAAAGTGACCTTACTCACTGGTTATAAGAGTGTTTGATAACACTATAATTTTATGCCTGAAAATCTTTCAGGAAGTTTTTTTGTTCTTCGTAAGTTTTCAGAACACAAAGCTCAAATGGCTAGTGGGCAAACTAAGAGGACGGGGCAAAAAACGATTGAGCAAGCAGGTTACATGTTCTACATTCACTAATATTTCTGCAGATCACAAAACTCACACGCACACACATACACACACCAAAAACTGCTGGCTTATCGTTTTCAAAGCAATAAAATCCTTCTTATTATCTCTGGTCACTTTTTTAAATGTTCTGGCGATATTTAAAAGCTCCAAGTTTTCAAGAATGAAAAGCCCTCTTCCCATCACCCTATACTTTAGATTCTTTGTAAAAAATAAAAATGATCTTAAATCTGACTCTGTAAGGTGTAGGAATAACTTTGAGCTCCACTCTACCACCTAAATTAAGTTATTTTTAACCCAGCAATTTTTAGAGGGTGCAATTATCTATTGTAGTAGAAAAACACTAAAGCACAGCTAAATTATCTGGGGCAGGTTCTATGCGCTGTGCCTACCTTCACTTTTATCAAGATGATGAGGGTTTAGAGAACTCAAAAGTGAGTTTCCAACCTCAGCATAGGGGCCTTTGAGGTCCGAATCCTCTGCATGTACAGAAAAAGGTAAAATAAAAGTTTTGTTCGTATCCATCTGACAGCACCATTGCTTTCTCATGGACGCCATCAACAGTCTGAACTGATATCCATCATAATCCTGTAGAAATGCACCCATCTGTCCAAATGGACTCACTAACAGTCCCATGATGACAGTCTTTCTGGCACACACACACAAGCACACGCACACCTACTGCACACACACGGCGCCAAACGCATCCCCTCTGTTCATGTGCTTACACACGTCTAGGTGTCCTCTTCACAAATGGATTTGCATATAATGAGATCATTTATCACTGCTTCTAAAATCATCTAAGAAAGTGTAAATAATGCCTAAATGTCACTTGTCAGTCTTAGCATTCTCATCATTTGTTACAAGAGTGTGAGACGCTGATTTGGCTTCGCAGTAATGAAGCCATCGTGATTCAGGATCTGTTAGCATCTGCACAAAATCTTAATGGAAGTCAAACAGCATGGATGTTGTTAATGTGTCACATGATTTTCAAGCCATGGTTCAATCAGTCGATAACCGGAGCCGAGGTTGAGTTTTGTGAAAATTCAAGGATTTGAGGAGAGCAGCGTGAACGCCAGCCCGTGTTCGCACACTTTCCCGCACGTGCCTGACCACGTGACCGTGCATTTTGAAGCTCTTGTTAAGTTCCAGATTTTGGATGAAAAATAAAACGGTGGTCACGTGAAGGTCATGTGGTCGGGGCTTGTAGATTTATGACAGGGTTCAAGCATTGGGTCATGATGACCTGAAACCCCCCTCACCATGCCTCCACCCATCTGTCCAGACTGACCAATGAGCTGCGCGCCCGGTGGATCAGACTCTGTTGCCAATAGATCGCTAATCCTCTGAGCGTGCTCACTGATGTAACTGGGGCAGAGATAAGACAAAGAATGCGAGTACTATGACATGGCTGTCCAATACATACTGTTTGCTGTAAGGATTTCATAGATACATCTGGGCAGGGAGCAGTCATAACATGAAACAAACAACAAATCCCTTCGCTTTTCATTATTCCTTCCCAACCAACCACAAAATATTAAGATATGAAATAATGTCCATCCATAATATGATGCTACAATTATTTTCTAACTTTCCATTCTGGTCAAATACCTTGAAGCTTCATAAAAGACGAGAAATGAAAGTTTTTTTTTTTCATTTAAGATAATTAGTGGTGTAAAGTGAACTACTTATAGACATCATAGCACCTTAGCTGCACAGCAGCATAAAAGCTTGGCGTGTTGGTGTGTGTGCGTGTGTTGTAGAGTGTGCATGTGCAAACAGTAGTGGTGGGTGCTTGGTGAGAATGGGACCTAAGACCTCAGATCCCCGGGAGGACACAGAGGAGATGGAGATGATTTATGGGTTCCACTGAACTGCACCATATGCCTGCCATAAATCTAAACATGCACACACACACACACACTCTCTCACATGCACTCACACCTACACACAAAAATGGGGATTACATACAACAGGGTCAGGCTAAAAACCTAAATACACTCCTCTAAGCCCATGATTTTTAAAAAGGTAGCAGTACAAGTTGACTGTTGAATGGGATTTTTCATTATGGTGTCCCAGAAGGACAGCTGAACCCTTTGAGCTACTTATATTAAATACAGGCATTTGGTAGCATGTATGTTTCTAGAATTAGCTTCATTTTTTTTTTTACTCTCTGAGCATACATATCCATGTTTAAAAACCTTTTTATTTTGTCTGTTACACAATATGAGTCTAACTGGGGGTGTCTGTGAACATCAGTTTCCAGATTTTCCAGATTCTCAATTGGATTTGGATCTGAACTTTGACTGGGTTATCTGAAAACTAATATGCTTCGGTCTAAATGTAGCTGCAGCTGTGAGTTTGGAGTCATGAAACACCTCCTCTGGTTCAAATGTTTTGTGATCCCTGTTGAAGAAAACCCCTCAGCATAATGCTGCCACCACAATGTTTCATACAGGAGCTCTTCTGTCCAAAAGAGCATTTTGGCTGAAAAGTCTAAACTTCCTATCCTGCAAACCGAAACTAATAGGATGCCCTGGATTTTATTTGAGCATATCAGAGTAAAGGGGTCTGAGTACAAATAAACACCTTAGTTTTCATAAGTTTTCTATAAGGGGCAGCTAGAGAAGCTCCTTAAACTAAGACTCATGTTTTTGACTGTGGGGAAATGCCATCAAAAACCCATAATTGCACAGCACACAGTGCATGCAATCGCCACACAAAAAGGTACTGAATCAGAAAATCAATATGTGATATTTGAATTAATGTTGCAAAGGTACAGCAAAAGCATACAACTTAAAACGAAACACTCTTTAGGTAGTTTAAGATCAGAAAATGTTTCTATTTCACTTAAGTTTAACTGGAACGTGCATGATGTCGGAAGCCGACGTCCTTCGTGATGAGCTTTCAAAGGCTCACGAGGCCCTTAGTTGAAACTCCTGTCAGATTCTCCTGAGTCATTGCTAATCATTGAACTGTTTTGAGTTTCCTCCTTATGTCAGCCAAACAACAAAACTGCTGCGTCGTTCAAACCGCCCACGCTTAATGGATTCCTTCAAGAGCAGAAAAAGTCCGATGACATCACGTTGATGTGGAAATCCAAGCGCATCCCACGTTTTGACTTCCGTTTTGGCACGGCATTAAAGGTGCAGCTGCTCACCAAGATGGCAGGTTTTAATTTAGTATGAAGGCAAGCTGGGCTTTACGGGCTTTAAAGACCACTTTACTATACATCGAGGCAGCTGACAGAAACTTTTCTCGTCTCTCCGGGGGTTGTTTCAGATCAGTCAGTCAGAACAAATAAAGTCTGAATATCCACAACACTTTGACAACCCAGCTTTCAAGACAGGACAATCCACATCTAACATTAATGTTCGGGATATAAATAGCCTGAGAAACGGTCAATGTTCAGCCTAAGACCTCCAGTAAGTTGGAGGATGAATTATGTATGATTTCTGCACTGACACAAACACCCCGACTGTCAGAGTCTATAAGCACGTCTGCAGGAGCGCACATTGGATTTGTCACAAATGTGTAGGAAGTTTCTGCTACAATGTGACTGCATCATTTAAACATCCAGAAGGAGAAAAATTCATGTCACTTATTAAAGTGGTCAGATATTTTGGACTGATATTTCTTAATTTTCTACAGTAGGCTTCGTTCTGGGCGTTGCTTTTATATATGCAGACACCAAAAGAGGCTCCTAAGACTCCGCTGTGCTTTCATTATCAAATAAAGAGAAACTTCAAAACAGGAAATTCAGCTTTCCACTTTGGAAAACCTACCTACTAATTTATTTTTTTTTTACCTACTCCCAAACTTAAATGAGCAGATTATTACAATTTACTACATATATTAGCTACGAAAATGTATGTGCATTACTGTGTATATGTTGATGTATCAAGTCACTGGCAAATCAAAAACTAATCAGTTCACTTAATCAATTTGCCTCCTTATGTTTTCACTCTTCACAGCTTAAAGTCATCAGAGTGAATTTCAGAGACAGAAACTCTTAAAGTGATGGAAGCTATGACACAGCTTTGAATCTCCCAGCTGTGGATGATTCGTTCATGGAACTCCAGTATGAAATGAGCCAAGTGGAAGGAGAGGACATCATTGGTCGAAACATCGTAATGCACCCCAAAAGGTGTGAAATCCTATAAAAGGCCTTGTAACCATTAAAAAGTGGGAGATTTGTGGAAGATTTGGAATCAAATGTGCTGAACAAATCTCCTCCCTGTTGGTCTGATTGAAGTAGAGACGATTCAAATTTTGTGTGATGATTTTTATTCCATAAGTTTGCCACTTTTTCATCCCCCAACAAGAATGGTGCTCCAAAATCTTAGTTAGCAGTGAACCTGATATACTTAGATTGTTTTGAAGCATCCAAAGCTATTTCTTTTCATACGCGTGTGTTGAAAGTTCTGGTGAGATTGGATGGTTCAACGGGACGGTATACCCGAACTCAGATCAAAACTGGTTTGGGAATTGATAAAGCAGTTGAACGTGTTATTCCTGGAATAGTGCCAAATGGGAAAATAAGTGAATTTATGGACTATTCTTGAAAGCCAGGTCTTTTCCAGGAAGCCAAATGATGTAAAGGAGCACTACTATGTCTGATAAGAGAAAACTGATGGCTACAAAAGATAGGAGTTTCTCTGCAATTTCCCAAGATGCAATAAACCAGACTAACAGGGTAGGAGGATGGGAGTAGTTTTTAGCTGCCATACATAATTAAGATCCTGTGTTGATCGGAGGAACTTCACAATAAACTCAAATGTGTGAAGTCAGTTCTTATTGATAAATTAATGGTGTAATAATCTCACCTTAAGAAAAAATTAAAAAAAACAAAACACCTTTATTTGACATTTATGGCCGTGAGTGTTTTCAAACTTCTGGCACTGTCACTTGTGCAAAACTGAGAACATATTTCTTCGTAAGCTAATCATATTAGTCAGTATAGACCAAGAACTGAAATTGTCCATTTAGAACCTCTGAAGCTCACATATTAACCCAGTTTTAACTTACTCTAATAATCTGAACAAAATCTCTACAAATCTCTACAACTGCACAACAACTCCTAGGAGAAATCTCAATGATTTCTCCACAGTGCCAAGCCAACAAACATGTCCTCAGATGTTCCATAATATGTTTCATATTGACTGCCAAACAAGGAAAGGTTAACCTAAGGTGTCTCATAGGCCAGGGTTGTTGTTTTCTGTTGTTTTCGGTCTCTGGATGAGCTAAACAGCTGCTGTCTGCTGCATCATATCTGAGGAACAGACATGAGAGCGTTGTCAATCATCTGTTCCAGCTCTCTGACAGTGAGACGAATGTTTCCCAAAATACTGAAGCACTTCTTTAAGAAATATTGGTGAAGTAAGTGTCAGAATCTTAAAGAGGGGGAGCTTAAGAGGAAAAAAATAGCCTTAAGCATTTTATTGTTGCAAAATCATAAAAGCACTTGGCTTCTGTTGGTGTGACCTTCATGCAAAGGTAGATTTGGTGTTTTAGGACTAAATAACAAAGACACATTTTCTTTCTGCAGTGTGTGCAACTGTTGGTGTAACTAGCACTACATGTCTACTGCATGGTGTACACTACACAGGACTGAAGTGACATTATGGGGTTAGGCTTCCGCTACTTCTTTTTACAGTAAAAAGGAAAATCTACTCGGTATCACTATCTATGGCTAAACTATGTTTCGCACCTTCCAAAGGAGAACTTAAAGGCTCGTGTGTAACGGCCGGCGACCGTTCAGTTTCAGAGATGACTGCTGCTTCAGTTTGAGCCTCAACGTCATCCTCGCCCTGTTTCCTATCTTCATTTCCAGGAAAAGAAGAAATACAGCATGAAGGTAAAGAGGTGATTTTTTTTTTTTTACTTTACAAATTTCAACAAATTAAATGATGCATTGACAAAAGCCGGATCGGTCCTGCAGCGATGGGGATAATTTGCAAAACAGAGATGCTTTACTCTGTTCGCAACTGACGTTTTGGGGACGAATGGCCCATATTTTTGAAAACTGTCTGTGATGTATTCACGTGGATTGAATATCCTGTGATTATTAAAAATGAAAATGATGAGTCGACTCTCACTTTCTGCACTAGATTCCCCAAAACACTGTTGTTGACTCATCAAACTCATGATGAGGACAGTAAGTTAAAAAAGTTATTGGGTGAGAGGAAAATGAAAAATTAAGGTAAAAAAAAAATAAAAATTTGATCAACGCCGACGTTTTGTACATCTACTGGTGGAAAACAGGTATTGCAATCCCAGAGACAGTTTCTTTTCAAAACACAAAATCACATTTTATGCCATCAAATTAAAAATGAATCTGTGTGAGTTTGAAATTGGTTCTCCACAGCTAACACCACACAGTCATCTAGAATATTTTATCAGCGCCATTATTTGCTCAAATAAATCATTCAGTTGTGTCTTGATTGTCAAAGGCGGTCGCATTAGAGTAGAGCTCTGAAGCCTGGTCCGATTGTTACGTTTATCCACTCGTCTCTTACTGTCGGGCCATGTGTCGGGCCATGTGGAGGAAAGCCCAGTGCTGTCAGGGTAGAAGTTGCCACTTTGCCGATAGTTTCAGTCTAACAGCTCGGAGGCTGAGAGCCTCTCCACAGAGAGAATCCCTAATCAAATTCCCTTTTATTCCTGCCTTCCCTCTCTCCTCACCCTGAATCACACTGCATTACAACAAACTAACATATGCCCACATCCTTATCTCCAATTGCTCCCTCTGTTCTCTCGCTGCTCTGTTTTGCTGCTCCATGCACCGACATATGCACAAGCCCCCCTCCTCTCCTCTCGTTCCTCCGTCCTTCAATCCATCAGCGGCAAACTGTCATTAGTCTAAATATAAAAAGCAGATATGTGGAAGAATTCCTTCTGTGCAGGTTAGAGCGATGTTCTGTGATGAAAGGAAGTGGCGACAGATAGATCTATTAATAATGAAGCTCCAAGGGCTCACCAAGTGTAGAGATGTGGGGTAAAAGAAAAAAAAAGAAAAAGAAAAAGAAACGAGCAACTGGAGAGAGCCAGCTGAACATCACAGGGGAGAGAGGTGGAGTTTAGAAGGGATGCAGATGAAAAAAAAAAAAAGAAGAAAGATGGTTAACTTCAAAATTTCAGTGCAACAGAAAAGGGATAAGAAGCGAGAAGGGAAGAGAGGCAGAAATCAGTAGCACATCTTCTGCTTCGCTTTGCATTATTACTTACTGGAACCGGAGGGGGAACCAGCAATTGTACCTGAAAGAGAATAAGAAAAGGAAGCGGAGATGAGAACTTGTTTATTTATGCATTCAATTTGCCTAAAGACTTGACTCTGGCTCATTTATCAGACTCAGGTGGGGGAAAGCTGCTAAGAAAAATAAGGGTTGCAGAAGACCACCTCTCACTGTCCCGGAGTAATTACAGGACCTGAGCTGTCTTCCCACTTATCCCATATTTTCCCCTTTCCCAGATTCATGTTTGTTCTCCCCAGCAAAGTGTCTATCTTATTTGCTTTTTTAATTATTTTATTTTTTTTTCCAAATAAAGCTTCTTTTTTTTAACTAACTTTAGATATAGTCATGCAATGATTAATGCATTATGTTTTTTTCAAGTTATGGCCATTTTGCTTTCTATTGCAACCAAGCAGAAGCTGCAAACATTTAAATTTTTAAATGCCACTAATGGGATCCAAGAGTTTTAAAAGGCCAGGGGTGAGGTCTGAAGGTGTGTGTCAGTACTAATATAAGTGAGTTGGAAACAACAGCATAATGGGGGGTATGAGGGAGGAGAAGCTGACAATTTTCTGCAGTGTGGGTGCATGTAAAAGTGTGTGCGTCTCCGCTGGTGTTTCTCTTATTGCATAAAGAGTGTGGCAGTGTAAAAGCAGAAAAGTGGGGAGGGGCTGCCCTAGATTATTATTTTATCATCGCTAGCTGCTGTGCCTGGTTACTCTCTCCAAAAGGATTTCCTCCTCACACACCGCTGTGCTGTTGCACATCCCTGATCTGCTCTCTGCAAGGAGGTCACAGAAACGCCAAAGAGCTTCGCGCCCTCGTAAGCTTTCAAACCGTCCTTTCTTTTCAGCCTGTTCTTCTGCTTCTACTTTTCATTCAGGACCTGAGAGTCATAGTAACGCCTTCATCAGTCCAATACAGAGCAAAAAAGTCCTTCAAAATCTTTACACATCAAATTATTTTAGGAGACAAAAATAATGAATGTGAATCCTTCATGATATCTGGTTCAAATCTTGCTCTCTCACAGGCTGAATGAACCAGAAACAAATGGTGCTTAAATTAATTCTAAGTCAAGACTGTGAACTTTGTTTCAGAGGGCTGCGGTCTGTCTTACTGTAGTACAACTGATGCGGAGTACAACAATGTTCAATCATTTGAACTTCAGAAATACCTTGTTCCCAATTTTTATGTTTAAAAATCATTCCACCCTGAAAATGCTAACTCTTGAAATAAACTATCAATAGCCCAAAATGTATGCCGCTTTATCCCGTGATGTGTGGACACAAACATCTGACCAGAACCGCCTCCGCCCTAAAATGGATAAGCACAATGCGTGAAGCAGGTACGTACAGGTGTTGGGGGTTCCAGTTGGTGCAGGCAGGTAGGAACCTGCTTTCCAGGACTTGGCTTTGAAGCCCTTCTTGCATCGCTGGCAGTCCTGCCCGGTGGTATTGTGTTCACACTGGCACTGGAGGTTCCCCTCAGTCAGCAGGCACTGGGAGGCATGGAGGTTACACTTACACCTTGGAGAAGAATCAGAGAAAACAGTCGACACATGTGAGAACATAGACTGTGACCTACTGATAGTTACAGAGGAATATAAAAATATAAATAAATCGGGGGCAACTACAGACAGACGATGCAAAACCAAACAGATTCCTGAAATTGAAAGACATTGGTTATCCGACTGCAGCTAGTTTTGCAGAAACATCTGAGCGGTTTACTCAGTTAAAACTACAAACCTACAAAAATAACAGATTTTTATGCGGCACACCTCTTGTGCAGAGGCCTCAGATTTTCTGCTTTGATGTTTTGGTTCATTGTGTTAACTGTCACTTTTCAGACTCAAATATATTCAGTTCTGCCTCAGAAGTCACCGACAGAACTGCAGCATCCTTTCGCTGTTTTGATGTTTGCTTTCTCAGTTTGTACAGCTGCCACTCCATCTGATTCTGCTTGATTTCACTCGCAGCCTTTCTTACTTCACTCACTGAATGAAGTAAAAAAACAACCTGCACTTTCTCGCAATTAGCTCTTTTATTTATTAATCGAATGTCTTTTACTGATTTACAGGTCAATCAGTCAACAGTAAATAAGCATGCAGGCATTTCAGTATCTGATTTTGTCATTTTTGCATCTACGAAATAAAATGTGAGTAGTCCAAATCTGATTTCCACATGAGGTCCAAGACATGCAACACAACAGTGAACATTCCTTTTATTAGATTCCCTTACGGCTTAGAAGCAAAATACTTTGACCTTTATGCTGGAATTTGATGAGACATTTTTACATAAACACTGCCAATTCATTTACTTTGCAAACTTTTCACAAATGTCTACAAAAGCAGAGGTGCACACTTGACCTTGGCAGAGGGGGAGGACCCAGGTGTGCAGATCCACACGCCACAGTTCTGCCATGAAGGAAATGAGGATCTTAAGGACACTCCGCAAGTATGACTGGAAATTACAGCCTTTTCCAGTTGAGCGACTGGACTCCAATCCAGTTTGTTCCACTGGAGTGAACACCTATCCGTCTGCATCAAATATTCAAAGAATGGCCTCCGTATTCGAGGAGAGACGACTGCTTCAATTTTCTCTCCTCGCACTAATCTTCGGCGCTCTTCCATATTTGTTCATTTCCTTTCTTTCTTCGAAGGCGGATGTGGTGAGAAGCCCATCAAACTGAGGCCTGATTTTGCAACAAGTGCATAATAACAATTGCCAAAACTTGGGAAATTTAAAACAAGATCTAAGTTGACGGAAAAATTGTGTCTCTGATCACGAGGCTTACGGTGGTCCAATGAGCCCTCCGCCCCCGGCCCTCCACCTCCATCTCCCTCTGACAGGACATGCCACGGAGAATCCATCCACCAACAAAGCCTCATTTCCTGCTTGCATTTTGAAGGACAAGAGCTGTCCACTTAGGGAAGAGTGAAATTGGAAATTTCTTTTTCAAGAAGAAAGCATTCTGTATGAGAGAGTGAATGTGCGTCAAATGAGACAGGTGTGTGCGTGTGTGTGTGTGTGTGTGTGTGTGTGTGGTTTTACTACATGCATTTGGGATGCATTTGTTTGCAAGTGCAGATGACAGGCAACAGATCAGGCAAAAACAGATGCGTTGTGACTAATGCCTGCACTGAGTGACTGACAGCCGCGAACATATCACCGCTTTTCATCTCCTGCATCTTTGCTGATAAATCTCATCTGTCTCATCTTGAAAGTTGAAGCACTGCTGAGTGCAGGATCTAAGAGTTGCAGCTTAAATCAATACCGGAGAATAGAGTGATTTCCTAGGTGTTGGGCGATGCAGTTTGTGTTTTTTAGCTCTCATTCAACAAGAACTAGAATGTCCGGCTCATTATACATATGACAAACCCCACTTAAGGCACGACATTAACACTTCAACAAGTTGAAAAGATATACATCCACTGACACTTTTTAACCCTTCCAGAGCTAACATAGCGGCGACCATCCAGCCAAATTTGCAGTATTGTAATCCCGCCACATTTTGCGCTATTTGTGAAATTTCAATCGTTTCTAAAAAGGGAGACTTTGGCCTTTCCAGCCAATCTGGAGTTATTATGGTTATTTCAACCCCGGCGTAGCAGGGTTGGAAATTAATCTGAGGGGCACTCTTGAATAGATGGTAAGTTGGAAAAATTACTTGCCAGATATTGAAAGACCAGTTGTTGTGGATAAATGGGCAAATATATTTACTCACAGAACATTTAAAGAACTGCTTACAGTTAAAATATGCAAAAATATCCATTTGAAACTTAAGTCTTACAGGGTTAAACATTTATTTGTGGAAAAAAAAGAAAGGAAAAATGTATTGTATTGCAGTTCTCTCACTTCTCAATTATGGACTGTTTTCTTCTAAAGCCCATAAAATGCATAAAAGTCCAGAGATGAAATGTGACAAAAAAGTAAAAAAGTTCAAGTGGGATGAATAATTTGGCAAGATCCAATAATTAGAGACATCTGACTCCCACTCGGGCGTGTTATCCCCTTGACCTGATATTCTGACCTCAACCTCGCAGCACCACCGATAAAGACCACAAGTACTTCCAGCCTCGCACTCCTTCCGCTTGACTGATGTGACACTCCGACTCTCAGAGTTATGCGTCTCGCTGCTCTCACTCTTGCATTTGACAGCTTGCTCTGGGATTTTCCCCGCCTCTCTTTCCAGTCCCTCCGCGCACAAATAATACATGGGAACAATCGTATGTTAATGTGCAAGATGTCGGCTGTTGCTGCAAAGTCATCAAAGCAGGAGTGCAGCTATGAGCTGAAGGAAGTTAAGATGGGACAGCTGGATCCATCAGAATTGTTTTTAGTTACTTAGGGCAGGAGGAAGCAAGCAGATTAGACGAAGGTAGAGGAGAGGAAGTGAAAATGGGGAGTTTTTTTTCTCAGAACAAAAGGAATATTCATTCTTCTTTACATTAGAACCCACTCATAAATTGCAGTTTTAATTAGCTGTGGTAATTACAGGTCAGTGCTTCTGTTCATCAATCTGCTCTGCGCAGTTTCTGTGAAACTGGCAGCAGTTGTTTTTCTTTTTTCTGTTTCCCATGTTGTTTCGTCTTTTGCATGCATATGCAAGCACACATGCAGAGGGTGTGGGTGTCATGGCGAACACACCACAAGAAGACGACGAGTGGAGAGAAAGTCCAATTATACCCCAGAGGCAAAATATATGATGGTAAAAGGGAAAACCGCATCCGAGACATCTCTGTAACCTGCTGCATGCGTTTGTGCTTCACGGCTATTACTGACTAAACCCTCATTACAGGAAGGAAAAATCTAACAAACAGGCCCGATGCTTCAGGTTGGCTGTTTCTCCGCATTTATTTCACTCAGACCAGGCAGTGAAAAAGAAAACTTCCTCATTAATTAATCCTTATTTTAACCGAAGAGAAATGTTAGCCTTGCTCAATGTTTGTCAAAGAAACAGTCGCATTGCTTCAGTGAGAGGCATTGAATATAAAGGCAAACTTCTGTGACAAAAGAAAGCCACCAAAGCTCCTGACATTGTTGCTATATTTCAGCCATTAGTTTGAGGCTTAAGAAGCAGAGCAGAGTGGGTTAATCGTAAGTGGCAGCACCCCACTCAAAATGGAAACGAGAATTCACAGAGTTCTGCTGCATCATCACCAGGTGTGCTACTTTAGCACAGTCATTCATTTAGATTTTAAACAAGCATGTCCAGGTAAATAAAGCGATTCACACTTTTGCATGGAATTGGGAAACGTTACTATTAGATAATTAATGTGGCATTAACGTTATAATTGTGAAGCTTTTGTCGCAGTGGTGCTCATGTGCGCTTTCCATGATAAGTGAGAGTAGAGAGGCTCGTGCTGGGTAAATTTTTTTAACATATCAAACAGTTTGGCTTATTTTGAAATGAGATTATACATGAAATAATTGAACTAGTTAGTTAGGCAGGGAAAATTGGAACGTTATTTTTAAAGGACGTTGTGTATTTCAATGACACAGAAAGACATGGCAAATATGCAAACAATTAATTGGGATATTACAATAATATATATGCAAATATATATGATCTGATAAAAGAGCTACTAAAAATTGTAGAAGAGCAGCATTTCTGTTCACAAAGGACTGCTGACTTAGCAAGCTTAGCTCAGCTAACCAATGTGCGCAGTTTTACAAAAAATAATAAGGGTGCATTTTTGTTATGTGTATTTGATTCGACCAACGGGCTCTGTGCTTTAAACTGAGTGAGATTTATTCAATCTCTGTAATCTAATTATATGCTGTGTTAATAGCAAACGATGTGATTTCTGCTCATGTAATAAAGGAACACGTAATGAAAGGGGCCTTCCTTCTCATTTGGTGTTGAATAAAAAAAAGAACAATAATAGTTGTGAAGAAAGAAAGTATGTCTGAAAACATGTAAAGTTCATAAAAGCATGTGGTATAACCCACTGTTAGCTGCAATAATAGGCTCCACTGATATTGTGCTTTGGACTTTTTCTTCCTTCCAGCCCGTCGCGATGTGTTTCTTAGTCCATCCCCCCTAAAGTCTGGGAGTACTTAATGATTCGAGAATGCCTGATTTAGACAGCAGAAATGCAGCAATTATGGGCATAAATAACAAGAAAGATAAACAAACATCAAGGGGGAGAGTCATGTGGTGGCAGAGTCTAAAAAAGCAGCTGGAAGCATCAGTTAATGGGGCTTTATCTGTCTCTTCACTGCAGCTTATGTGCATTCCTCTGTTGCTCGCCAGGGACTCAAAAATCATTCACTTGTTTTCCTCCTTCCATCTAGTCCTACTGAACTTTGTCCAAAATGTCTTTTTCTTCTCTATACGTTCAGTTTTCATGTCCGTCTTCGACTTGCCCGTGTCGGTCTGTGTTGCCACAGCCTTTTAGTTCCTTTGCTTCTTGCTCGTTGCACAAGTGTTCACTGAGCAGTGCTTTGGGTAAATTGGGTTGTGGACATGTGCTTGAGAAGAGAGGTCTAAAGAGAGAATAGAAAGGATTTAGATGATACGGAGG